AATAGTGTAAGAATAGTACCGTAATTGACAGTGTGTAAGGTGTAAGTAACCAGTATTGCAAGTACCGTAAGTAAGTTTTTAAGTATTGTTATTAGTGTAAGTATATAGTATTGTAGTAATGTATTTTAGTGTACTGTTAAAAAAAAAATGAAATGTCTATATATATAAAACAAAACAAAAAAACATGTTGTTTAAAACTAATGGATTTCCTGGAAAGAAATAATTAAATTTTTGTTTGCACTGTTTGGGAATGGTTCTTTGTCTCCCTTAACCCTATTTCACATAAATTTCAACCGACAAACCTTCTTTTGCCCAGCCCCAAAAGGGAGGACTCAAGTATGAAATTGAAAGCAGTCATCATGGGAAATATGAAAGAAACCCATTAAAGGTATCAATCTCCCTTTGTGGGCCTTGCTCAAATTCATTTTAACCTCAAGACGTATCAATTTAACAAAACTACCTACTCACACATATATATATTTTTTACCTTTTCATATAGTTTTTTCCAGGTTATAGGCTGGAAGGTACTGAAATAACAATCAATCAGAGTTTCATATTTCACCTTAACTAGTTACCATGGCCTTGACTCACCAAATTATAATTAATTACCTCTGTGATTTTAAAGTTAAAAGCCTTCAAGTAGAGATGAGGCCTCAAGTTCCCCTTCTTCCCAACCCATGGTGAAAAGGGTAAAACATTTCTAAGTCGAGAAAGCGACATAATTCTGTTTGTCAGAATACCTATGTTTTATGCTCTGATTTATTAGAAGCTTTTCTGCGAAAGGTGAACTCCAAATGTGCTGCTGCTTGCATTAACTCCATTCAAAAGACAAAAACAGAGTTAGAACTCAGCTATCTCGTTAAATGAATTTTTAAATCCCGTGCATATGAATTTACTTTTCTATTCCTCTCCTCTATATATATGGTATCAATTTTGCGGTATTATAACTTGAACTATATTTTATGACTTAAAGGGGCTAGGTCACGCTATTTTAGGTGATTTTGTTTAATTTTGTTAATCATGAGCTCTAAATGTCAAATTAGCAGAGCAAAAGTCTTTCATTTGCAAAATCACGATTTTCCAGCTGTGTAAATGACATTTTGATATAAACTGATATAAATTTGAAAAAAGGTGGGCCGACGTTTCTTAAATTTATCCAAATGCAATCCATTTTAATCCTCTCCAGTTTTGTCCATCCATGTTCCTTCTTGGCTTTCCTGTGTTTTGTTTGAGATCTT